GGCCCAGAGCTATCAGGAGTCTCTGTCTTTCTTGTTGGCAGGCAGGACAGTTCTTACTGGCAATTTGTGCCTCAGAGGGTGTAAAAGTATGTCTAAAATTCAGCCTATCTCTGCATTGCTGCAGCACCCAATGTCCACTCATTTCTTGGACCTGGGTGCCATTCAAGCCAACACACCAGGATATGGATATGCCAGTTGCAATTGCGTTTTGATCCTGGAAGGGGCTTCTGATTGGCATCTATGTATTCCACTATAATGCACCCCTCAGATCCCCATATGTGCACCTCTTTAATAGGCCAGTTTTCTATTGCCCTTATGCTTAACCATATGGCCAAGATATTGGCCACCACGTATGGGTCAATAAAACCTGAAATACAGGGACAGATAGCACGCAATTCTGCCTGCCAGCCTAATTTGTTTTTACCTCTTTTTTTTTTTTAGTTGGAGTCTCACTCCTTCTCCTAGGCTGGAAAGCAGTGGCATAGTCACAGCTCACTGAAGCCCCAATCTCCTGGGTTTAGGAGATCCTCCTGCCTCAGCCTCTCAAGTAGCTGGGACTACAGGCGTGTACTGCAACATCCAGCTAGTTTTGTGAATTTTTGTAGAGATGAGGTCTCATTATGCTGTCAGGCTGGTCTCAAACTCCTGGGCTCAAGCAATCCTCTCACCTCAACCTCCCAAAGTGGTGGGATTACAAATATGAGCCACCACACCCAGCTTGTTTTTACCTCTTTCAAATAGAATGGTCAACCTTCCAAATAAGATGTTGTCCACTCATGTTGGAGCTGCCGTCCATATGCCAAGGAGCTCTTTGTCAACCAATCAAGAGATGTTCATAGGCACCACCCAAGTGGTGATAGGATTTGGCAGGTCTTCAGGTCATTTCAAGTGAACCCTTGGGGAAGATGTTCCCTGTTCATGAGTACTTCCTTGAATTCCCCCAGTACCATGTTACTGTATAAACCATTTCCATTGTATTATGAGGTTTTCTGGGTGTTGTCTTCTTCATCAAACTGTTTCTTAAACATCATTCAAGACATTATAAGTATTTCAGGTTGCAAGATTACATTATACTCTTCAGTCATAGGATTAGTCTTCATTCATACACAGTAGCAAGCTAGCTGTCTCTCAAATGAAGATTTTCATGTCTAAAACCTCAGAGGTCATTGCTAGGAGGCACTCACAGGCTTTTTAGTCATAACTTCCAATTTGTGTTCCATACAGGGCTACTGTACTAAGAATTTATCCATATCAGCACCCCAGCTACTATTCTATGCTATTTCTAATTAACTATTTGTTTGGGTTCAAGAAATCTTATTGGCTTCTATTTGTCATATCCAATCTATATAGGGAAATGGGCAGATTTACATACCTTCTGTTTTATAATACTAGGTAGGAGAAGTCTTCCCCAGTCAGAAAGAATATCCATCATTATAATAAGCTCAAGTAAAGGAGATGCAACTCCTTCACATAAAGTCTGTTCAAATATTTCAATTTTTATCTAACATTTTATCTTAAACCCACTAGTCATTGCGTTGTTATATCCTCTCAATCTCACTGTAGGACCACTTAGGACTTAGACGACAGGTTTGGGGCCTATAGTGCACGGGGTTTCTATGTCAAGGATTTTCAGACATGCCTCTCCTCTACCCCTTGGCTGTTTCACTCATTCATATGCATATGGCTCTGGGTTCTGAACTGGAGGTTGGGCCACAAGATCCAGGCCCTCTCAGCATTCTTTTTCTTGCTTAGATTGTGAAACCATCATCCCAGGCTATTGGAGGTCAATTTGTCATGGCCATTATTTTCTTGTGGCTTTTTAATTTATTCCACACTAGAGTAAATAAAGTAGATTTGTTTAGGATCCTTCAATGTTGGGGACAAGTAGATGCTCCCATTGGCCTACCCTTTTTCCAAGAGTACTGCATTAAGACTTGTCTTCAATCCATCAATGTCTGACTTATTAACCCAATATCTAACTATTTAAAGATTTCTGGGTTGAGTCCTCTGACCCTCCCTTCTCTGTTACCTCTTTGCTTTGCTCCTTCTCTTAAAAATCATTCTAGTCTTGTTATCTGTAGTTTCAGCATTTTTTTTTTCTCTTTGCAAGCAGTTCTGAGGTTAGAGGCTGTAAATTAGGCCAGCCAAAACCTAAGCAAAGCTCCCAGCATCAGATTCTGCCATAACATGTTTCTTCCCTTTTATTTTTAATTTTTCCCATGGATAAGAGATCTAAGGCTAGAGGCTTAGCTTGGGCCAGCCAGAATCCAAGTTTGGCCCAAAGCCAAAGTCCACCCCACCACTCTTCCTTACTTTTGTTTTAACTATTACAGATAATAATAACCAAGAGATAGTATAGTTTGCCTTTTACTAATTACTTTGAATTTCCTTATGTATCCAGCAAGTCAACTCCCTGGGAGTTGGAGTTATTATTTCTAAATTCCATTAGTAAATTTTACCTCCAGTAACAGACTGTTATACAACAGTGGTTCCATAATATGGCTAACCAAATATCTTCAGTTAGCCAAACTTCAAGGTTTGAAGATACAGTTCTCTAAACTTCCAACTCTACCCAAGATTTCTGACACCAACTGCAAGTTCAGGCATTTCCCCCAAACCACCATCAGTTTTGATAATTTGTTAGAAGAACTCATAGAACTCACTGAGAGCTATTATACCCTTGCTTATGATTTAAAACCAAAAAAGAATCTATTAAAATCAGACAAGGTAGCCAGGCTCGGTGGCTCAGCCTGTAATCCTGTGCCATTGGGAGGCTGAGGTGAGTGGATTGTCTCAGCCCGCGGGTTCGAGACCCGCCTGGGCTACTTGGTGAGACCTCCTCTCTACAATAAATCAAAAATCAACCGGGCATGGTAGTGCGCGCCTGTAATTTCGGCTACTTGGAAGGTTGAGGCGGAAGGATCGCCGGAGCCCAATGGGTCGAGGCTGCGGTGGCCAGGAGCAGCCACTGCACACTGCACTCTAGTCTGGGCGACAGAGTGAAACTCCAACTCAAAAAAAAAAAAAAAAATCAGACAAGGTAGCTCACACTTGTAATCCTAGCACTTTGGGAGGTCAAGTCAGGAGGATCCCTTGAGGCCAGGAGTTAGAGACCAGCCTAAGCAACATAGTGAGACCCCCTCATCCCTACAAAAAAAAATTGTTTTAAATAGCCAGGCTTGTTGGCATATGCCTTTAGTCCCAGCTACTCAGGAGGCTACAGTGGGAGGATTGATTGAGCCCAAGAGTTTGAGGCTGCAGCAGCACTCCAGCCTGGACAACAAAGCAGTACCCTGTCTCTAAAAATAAAATAAGGTAAAATAAATATAAAATAAAGTCAGACAAGGAAAGGGACACACAGAGCAGAGTCTGAGGAGGTTCCAAATATGAGGCTTCCATTGTCCTCGGGAAACACTACCTTCCTAGTACCAATGAGTAACACTATGCATGTAGTGTTGACAATCAAAAGAACTCACCTGGGCTTCAGTGCCCAGACTTTTTATTAATGCTTCGTTACTTGTGCATGATTGATTGATTGCCCATATGGTTGCTTTCAATTTCTATCCCCTTACTCCTCAGAGCTCAGGTTGATATCAGATGGTTCAAGAAGTCCATAGTGGGTCACCTCATTAACATAAACTATTAGGCATGTCACAAGTACCTAGGTACCATGAGCCTCCTAGGTTGCAGATGTGGCTTACAGAGCCTCTCCATGAATAACAGACACTCCTGTCACCGGAGATATTCCCAAGAATAAAAGGATTACTTTCCAGGAGCCAGAAATAAGACGAAATCTCTCTTTGGTCAAGGATAAATTCTTTATTAAAAAATAGACAATTTAAAAATAGATAAGCCTTAGAATTAGAGTTTGAAATTGTGATTTCATGAAATTTTCACTTTTCTTTAGTCCTCTAGGGTACATGAATGCAGTTTTTAAGTGGGTTTGAGGCATGCAGCTAGTTTACCATGCAATATCCACTCTACCATCTACTCCAACAGAATAGTAAACAATGCAAATAAAACAGAAAACAAAGATGCATAAAAATAATCCATAAAGTCAAAAATAAATGGCTATTTTTTAAAGAAAACTATGGCAAGGTTGATGAAGAAGAAAGAAAAAGAGGGCTAGAGAGGGGAAGAGGAGGAGGAGGAGGAGGAGAGGGAGAGAGAGAGGGAGAGGGAGATGGAGGAAGTAATGAGGAAGATAGGTAGGGGAGCTTAAACAATTAACATTAGCAATCTAAGGGAGACGTAACAGATGCAGAAAACTAACAAGATAATATAAGTATATTAGGAACAACTTTATGCCAATAAACTTGAAAACTTGCATAAATTGGTAAAAGGACGTGAAGCAAAGAAAGAAAAACATCACAATCCCATAGGTATTCAAGTGTTTGAAGTCCTGGTGTAAAATCTTCCCACAAACCAAAAACAAAAGTGAAACAAGTGCAGTTATGGCTTTTCCAGCATGTTCTACCAAACATTTCAGAAAGAAGGAAGGAAAGAAGGATAGAAGGAGGGAAGCAAGGAAAGAAGGAAGGAGGGAGGGAGGAGAAAGAAAAAAAGAAAGAAAGAAAGAAGGAAGGAAGGAAAGAAAGAAAGGAGGAAGGAAAGAAGGAAAGAAGGTAGGAAGGAGAGAGAGGAAAGGAGGGAGGAAGGAAGGAAGGGAAAGAGGGAGGAAAGAAAGAAAAGAAAGAAAGAAAGAAAGAAAGAAAGAAAGAAAGAAAGAAAGAAAGAAAGAAAAAGAATCTTTAATCTTAGACACCCTGTTTCAAATTACATAGAAATAGAGGAAACATTTCAGTGAAGCCAGCTCAGCTTCAAGGAGATGGGAACTAGACTCCACCTCGCATGGAAGGAATAACAAACTGTAGCTCATCTTTAATCCACCACAAATTGTTTTTCTAAAACATCGTTTAAAAGGAGGAGAGTGTCACTGGATCCCTTTATGTCTTTCTAAGAAAACAGCAAAACAAAAGTATGCTTACATATGGCAGTAGAAACTTAAACTTAGAGTAGAATTTATTAATGGTGCTCTAAAATAAAATATTCAAACAAATGAAATGGATAATACTATACATTTATGTAGGCCAAACTACATGTATGTTACAGGGAATCAGCTCTACCAATCTTCACATTTTTTTTTTTTTTACTCAGCAGAGGGTTTACTCTAGAATTCTTAAACGTGAACAAGAGATGATCTTTTGTGGCACCATTCTTGAGGCTGTATTAGATCATGCTATTTCCTTTTCCTCAGACCCAACAACCTAACCCTCCAGGGTTTCCTTCCGTTTAAATTTCTCTTATAAAAGGAATCACACTGTACTTCGCCGAATCTCAGGAAACCGATTTTTGCTATTTCTTAAGTTCTGCACAACTGCATGGCCTGCTAGTTTTACTTGAGTCTAAATTAATCTCTCAAAAGGATAGCGCTCAAGGTCATTCATATTCCAGTTCACTGCCTGGCGGGAACAGTCTAGTTCAGGGTTTACAAAATAAAAGGACTGTGAGAGGAGAGTGATTTATATAGACAGACTTAACCTACTTGACCTTTGTATTAGGAGATCCAGCTGAAAGAGGCCAAGCACATTGCTGAAGATGCCGACCGCAAGTATGAAGAGGTGGCCGGTAAACTGGTCATCATTGAGAGTGACCTGGAACGTGCAGAGGAGAGGGCTGAGCTCTCAGAAGGCCAAGTTCGACAGCTGGAAGAACAACTAAGAATAATGGATCAGACCTTGAAAGCACTAATGGCTGCCGAGGATAAGTACTCACAGAAGGAGGACAAGTATGAGGAGATCAAAGTCCTCTCTGACAAGCTGAAGGAGGCTGAGACTCGGGCTGAGTTTGCTGAGAGGTCAGTAACCAAATTGGAGAAAAGCATTGATGACTTAGAAGACGAGCTGTACGCTCAGAAACTGAAGTACAAGGCCATCAGCGAGGAGCTGGACCTCGCTCTCAACGACATGACTTCCATGTAAATGTCACCCACCCTGCCTGCTCATACCCGCGCCCTGGTGCTCACGTGATAAGCTCGCCACGCTCCTTCCCTACGCCTTCATCTCCACCTTCGTACCCCCTGCGCACGCTCTCGTATAACCTGGATTAGCCGTTGTTTTTCACTTTCTACTAATACAATCTTCACATCTTAACTTCTCTCATTGTAACGGATTTTTCTGTCTTACAATCTTTGTGTCTTACAATCTTTGCCTTTGCTAGATTTATGGACTACAGTAAATTCTTTTTGCAAAAAAGTATGCATTTCTACTAAAGAATACTTTTTATATGTCTTTATACATTTACACAGATTTCTATTGTCTACTTTAGACATTGTCTTATATACAATAGGCATTCAATGTTTATTGAAATTAATGGATGACAAGATGAGAGTTAAAAAGTTCTGAGAAGACAATGACCTGCTTTGTAATTTATAGGCAGCAATTATGTTAAACAATTATAATAATGATGAGGAAGAACAATACCTGAGCGTACTCAAAAAACTCAACAATTATTTGTCAGTTGTCCTGGCTATTTCTATAGCACTAGACTGTTAGTGAACGTTTTTACTACAACTACATGTTTTGGGAATTTTGTCTGCTATATTTCAGTCAACACTGTAAAAAAAATGAGGAGAGTACTTTGGCTTCAAATTTGGTTTTTAGTTCATTCTATGATGTGTAAATTATTTTTGTTACCTCGTTTATAGCTATCAGGAGAATCTAAACTATGTTGATGGTAGAATTCTGGTATGACATTTTACTGATTACTACTCACAAAAGTCTTTTATCTATGAGCTCAATGGGTTATTCCTAGCCTTTGAAAATGTATTTCAAGAAAATGCTTTATAGGGATGGATTATAAGTATACAAATCAAGTATGCATTCTTATGTATTGGCAACTGTCTAAAATTTTATGGTACTTTGCTTTCTGCAACTTTTTATTCATCCATTCTAGACATTTTAATTGAATTCTTACAACGTTCCTAACTTTATCATAAGCCCTGAAGGTAAAACTGTGGCAAAAACATATTGCCAGATAAAATACAGGATTCCCAGTTAAATTTGAACTTTAGATAAACAGTTTACTCATAGTAAAAAATCATTCTGTTTATCTGAAATTCAAACTTAAGAGGGCCCTGTAATTATTTATTTTACTTGTTTACTTATTTATTCATGCTAAATATGGCTGACCTAGTAAAAATAAATATAGCCCTAATTCGTTCTAATTTACTCTCCAGTGGCAAAGCAGACACTAATCAAAAAATTATGCAGATAAATGAAAAATTTTAACTGAGATAAGTATTACCAAGGATAAATTGAAATCTGAAGAAGGAGAAAATAATTGGGAGACAAACCTGGACAGAAAGGGGAGTTCAAGGAAGACTTCCCTGTGGAATCGACAATGAATCTTGGTACCATGAGAAAGGAAACACAGATGCTCTAACACTTCTTCTTTTAGATGACAATTTTGTATTCATAAAAATACATGTCCAGCTGTAATGGTACAAGGAGTAGAAAGCCTGGTTACTAGTACACCATGATATAGAAAGCATTCAAAGCCTGGTTTCAGAGTCTACCCAGTGCTTTTCCCATTTGGTATCTGATTGATTATGAAACCAGAGCCTGCAAGTTTTAGACATATGTAAAGAGGTACATTTCAATGTTCAATTACAAATTCCAAATACTGTGGACATTTTCTGGGACCAGAGAAGGAAGCGTTACTTGTCCATCATGCCTCTGGCCTTTGCTCCTGCCAGAAGTGAGAGAAAATATGCCTGGTTTTAAGCAGCCAGGAAGACTTATTCAGACTGGTGGGAAAGACACAAATCTACCATCTACTCACCTGGGAGTTGCCAGACAGGTATGTTGCAAGTGACTACACCCTATAGTGCCTCTGGCAGGATCAGGGCTCTTCAACTTTCCCAACTGCCCAGTTTGGGATTTTTCCCCATTTCCAAGTTTCTATATGGATGCGTTATTAAAAGTGATCTTGTATGATTTGTATAATTATTCAGATTTGAATATGCTCCTTATTTGTCTTTATTGTAATAATAAGAATAGTTCTGCTTCAGGTTTATATAATCATTCCCATATATTCAGGTTCCTTTAATTATCTTATTTATCTTTATGGTGTCTGCAAAATGAAAGGGGAGGTGAATGTTATTATAACAATTTTTATGGATGCAGGAACCTGGGTATAGTCTCTGTAGGTGAGTTGCCTAAGTTCTTTTTCTGACACAATCTACAGCAAGATTGACCAGTCATTCAATCTCCCAACTTTCTCTGGAGCACTATCAAGCTAATTAGAAGTACAAAGCATAAACGCATTGTCTGAAAAAAACAAATTACCTTGAAAAAATAGTACAAAATATAAATCATGTTAAATTGCAAAGTATGCAGCCAATAGTTAAAACTTATAAAAATAGACTGACACATATAACTATGTTTAAAATGCCACCTGGTAAATTGTAAAGTTATATGATTAGCTTTACCATGGCAAATAATTATTGACTAAACTTAGATTGCAAAGGTAACATATGCTCTAAATTTTACCAACCAATTACATGTATTAAAAATCTGTAAATGTGAAAATATTTAATTTCTTCCCCCAAAATTAATAACTACTTTTGAATTATAATAGAACAATGTTGAAAAAAGAGGATTGAAAAAAGTGTCTTTACTATCTCAATTTATTTTTATAGCACTTTGTTTTCTAAATAAATTTTTCTATAAATACATATTTCTCATTATACGGTAATTTAATGTATGTGCATTTGATTCTAAACTAATGTAAATACCAAATACACGAGATTTATGGATTGCAAGGTTATATAATGCTGTATTTTTTTAAAGACTTTATTTTTCCAGGAAAAATTTAGAAACAGGAATGCAGGTGGTCTTTCAAAGTAGCAAGTTTATGTTTATTATATTTTATTTTATTAGTTTTAATAGTGAATTAGTTATTTTATTTTATTTTATTTTTTGGTAAAAACAGCATCTCACTTTTTTGCCCAGATGGGTCTCAAACTCCTGGCCTCAAGCAATCCTCCTGCCTTGTCCTCCCAAAGTGCTGGGATTTACAGGCATGAACCACCTTGCCCAGCCTATTTATTTTGTTTTATAAAAGCGAGATAATTTCCTGCTTATTACTTAAAACTCTACTACTGAAAGCTTGCCTTCATATATAGGTTTCTATGAAAAATGAACTGGTAACTTTTTTTAAAAAAAGATTATTTTCCGGGCATTGAGCCACAAAAATGATTTTTTTTTTTTTTAATTATATTTGTTCTTCAACACTGCTCCATACACTGTGGAACAGAAGGAGCTCCAGGTCCTCCTCAGCAGCCACACTTTTCTCTACCAGAAAAGATTTCAAACAAAAAGTGTTCCCCTAAAAGCAGCACTGTTAAGGATTTCAGGGTGGAAGTATATCTCCCAGGTGTACCTTATCGCCTGTGTGGCTTTTTCAATCTGCTCATGACATATGCCTAACAGACTCTGAAATTACTTCAAACTTGAGTATCCCTTTGAGAGTGAACACATCTATGATTTATGGGAATATGGTTTCATACTACAGATAGAATGAGATTTTTAAAAAAAATTATAATTTAGTGCTATGGTACACAATCTTCGCAGATTTTACTGCATTAATTGTAGTATGATGTGGAAAATGGAAAAACACCCAAGCCCTAGTTTTGTGACAAGCTCAGAAAGTCCAGTAACTTTATATAAACAATCCCAATCAATCCTTATCACAATTTAATAACATACTTTTGTAGTAAATCCTATTACAATAATTGTATTTTCCTGATGAGAAATCTAAAACTCAGAGAGATACTAAGAGAATGGAATCTCCTAAGTAGGTCAAAAAAAAAATCAGGATTTATAATGATTTTCCATCACCCAGCTGAATCTTTCAGATGGATTTCAGACTAAGAAATGTAAAGTAGCAGTATTTTATTTTAGAAACAAAAGTTAATGGCAGCCTGCTGGGTTGATATGCAGAGATGAATTCTTTTTTTTTTTTTTTTTTTTTTTGAGCTGGAGTCTCACTCTGTCGCCTAGAGTGGAGTGCAGTGGCTCCTGGCCACTGCAGCATCGACCTGCTGGGCTCCGGCGATCCTTCCACCTCAGTCTTCCAAGTAGCTGGAACTACAGGTACCCGCTACCACGCCCGGCTGATTTTTTGATTTATTGTAGAGATGAGGTCTCGCCAAGTTGTCCAGGTGGGTCTTGAACCCGCGGACTCAGGCAATCCACTCACCTCAGCCTCCCAAAGCACGGTATTACGGGCTGAGCCACCGAGCCCGGCTGAGAATGAATTCTTAGATGATGTGGTAGGTAAGAAAAGTGCCCAAAGCAGAAGATTTTTAAAGAATTTGAGAAAGTATACTCTACCCTTCTTCAACTTTTATACAACCCAACCCTACCCCCAAGCCCCTTCCACCAGATATAGAAATGAAAAATGATTGGTGATGCCAAAACACAAATTCACCAATTTTATGTCAAACTTGCACTGTTGATATTATTGGAATCTAATTTTTGTTGATTTTCCTACCACTGAGTTCCCCAAATGCTGCCTAACTTTGTTGTTTTAATATGTTTCCAATACCTGAATTTCTAAGGACCTGAAAAAGTCCCCTGTGATTTGTACTATTGCTATGTGGTTTCTCACCATTGTCATTGCTTCTCTTGCCTATTTTCTGAGAGTCTCAGCAAAGTTAATTTTTTATTATGATCCTTTTTGCATTACTAAGAAGGAGAGATCACCTAAATCATTCTTTCATGAAGACTGTTGACTTTTTATAATAATTTCACACTTAGCAATCAGCAACAGTGTCACATTTCAAAAGTCTTGGAATTATTTTGCTTGTCAGGATTTGGATTCCATTTTTCAGACTCTTATAGAACTAAACCACTCCTGTGACTGGATGGTCTTGAAATCAGTGATATTTAACACTATCTTCTTTCTTTCCACCATT